ATGACACTTGGCTAGATAGGAGGATAGAAGGCAATAGTTAACATTAAATAAAAAGAGAAACAAAGAAGATTGGTTCCATAAGGGACAGATAATCAGCTCCAACAAAGACAAGACAGTAAGAAGCAAAGGAGAAAAGATATAAAAAGAAATGAAGAGCAAGAGAAAATACAGTTTTTACAGCGTAGAAAATGCTTCTGCAGTATTAAAGATAAGTAAACTACTGTGTACAAATATATTGTTAGTCCCTGAGCTAAAAGTTTCATCCATTTTCAAAAGAAACTGATCTTAAAACTATTTAACTCAACATCTTCCTCTCCCACCATTACCCATTTAAAAAAAAAAAAAAAAAAAAAAAAAAAAAGGATGTCCAAAGACACTAGGTGGTTTGCCTAAAGTCACCAACTTATCAGTGGTAGGGTCTAGTTTAGAATCCAGGTCTTATGACTCTCAGTCTAACTAATGTCCAGAATTATGTTAGAAGCAGTTCTTATATAAACCAATTATTTACTTTTCCTTATGGTCAGAATTATCAGCATGCCGTGGTGCCTGGCTGGCTTAGTCAGTACAGCATGTCACTTGATGTTGGTCAGAATGGGGAGTTCAAGCCCCATAATAGGCATAGAGCTTACTTTAAAAACTAGCCTTTCAAAAACAAAAAATGTGGGGCACCTGTGTGGCTCAGTTATTAAGCGTCTGCCTTTGGCTCAGGTCATGATCCATGTCCTGGGATGGAGCCCCATATCGGGCTCCCTACTAACAGCCAGCTTTTCCCTCTCCAGTTCTCCTGTGCTTGTGTTTCCTCTCTCGCTCTCTGTCATAAATAAATAAAACTTAAAAAAAAAATGTGGCCATGCCAATACTTAGAATTTTTTTCCCTGCATCCAGAAGATACAGATCTCTGTTGCTGGTTTACGTGACTGAAATCATATATGGCAACAACTGGCAGAACAGAAAGAAAAGGAGGCAACATATTCCTGAAGAAAATAAAAATGTTACAGTGTACTAGGCCCTGAGATATGTCACTCAGAATCTATATTAAGGAACACTACACTCCCCTCCACACACACACAGGTGACCCTAATTCCTATGTTTCAATACCTACCAGAAGAAATTCTGTTTGAAGCCATAAATGCCATTACCAGTGGCTGAAACTAGTGACAGTCACGCTGTAGTAGACATTTTAAACTATTACCTTGTTTCAAAGGAAAGCATTCCCCTATAAATACATAACAGTTCTCAAGGATGAGCCAATTTTTCTAGTATTTTATTCACTAAATTTTAGAAGGTAGGCCAGGAAACCTACCCACCATGTTCAACATAATTTTCAGCAGGAAAATGCATTTTGAGTTCACACAAAAAATTATTTTGTAACTCAAGACTGCACTCCATTTTAAAGCACATTCGATTCATACTAGCCACATTTCAAGTGCTCAAGAGCCCTCCTTTATACTGCCAACATACTGGCTAGTCTATACTGTAATGTATCTTGGGACAACTCCTTTCTCTGAATTTGTAACATCAAGTGAGTATGTAAATTATTATTAAAATATTTATAGGATGCCTGTGGTGGCTCAGTTGGTTGGTTGTCTGCCTTCAGTAAAGGACATGATCCCACTGATCCTGCTTTCCCCTTCCCTCTGCTTCTCCCCTAGACTTGTGTTTTTGCTCACTGCACTCTCTCTCAAATGAATAAATAAATGAAAACTCTTTCTAAAAAAGTTATTTGTTGGGGCGCCTGGGCGGCTCAGTGGGTTAAAGCCTCTGCCTTCCGCTCAGGTCATGATCTCAGGGTCCTGGAATCAAGCTCCACATCCAGCTCTCTGCTCAGCAGGCAGCCTGCTTCCTCCTCTCTCTCTCTCTCTCTGCCTGCCTCTCTGCCTACTTGTGATCCTCCGTCTGTCAAATAAATAAATAAAATCTTTTAAAAAAAAAGTTATTTGTTGCCTTCATTGAATACCTTAGGTTCCATTCAAACATAAAACTAAATATAAAAGAAAACCTAAGTAAGAAACATAAAACAGGAAATTTTTCTAAATCTTATAGTTTATACATTCAATCTGCTGATGGATCTTCTCTCCTGACCTTAAGTAGTTCACCACACCAAGCAACAATTCAGAAGCTTGATTTTCACTAATATTTTTCTAAAACAAATATGAATACCACTAATCAACTAAAACAGTATCTGGATTGAGTTCTAACATATCATTTAAATCAATTATCCAGGGGCGCCTGGGTGGCTCAGTGGGTTAAAACCTCTGCCTTCAGCTCGGGTCATGATCCCAGGGTCCTGGGATCGAGCCCCACATTAGGCTCTCTGCTCAGCAGGGAGCCTGCTTCCTCCTCTCTCTCTCTCTCTCTCTCTCTGCCTGCCTCTCTGCCTACTTGTGATCTGTCAAATAAATAAATAAATAAAATCTTTTTTAAAATAAATAAATAAATAATAATAATAATAAATCAATTATCCAAATATACCTAAACTGTTTTGGAAAATAGTCACAACTATTAAAAAAAAAAAAAAAAAAAAGACAAGTTTCTGGTACCATAGAGAAAACAAATGAATTTTTTTTATTATTTCAATTACAATTTCAATCATGTAAAAAAGTTCAGTGCAAAATGCACGTGTTACAATAATTTCCATTTCCCTGGTTAGATACTTTATCAAATCTAAGTGTTTCATTTTAAATTGGCTTAGTCCGTATTGCCTAGCTACATACATAGACTATTCTCTTTCAGAAAATCTTTTCTTGACTGCAAAAACTATGTTTCAAACTATACTTTACACTTTTGTATTTTATTTTTCCTGGATCTTCTTTGTGTAATTTTTTTAAATTACAATTAGGTGAGAAATATTTTGTAGACTAGGACTGTACCTTCTATTCTTCAGCAACTTTCCTAAAGACAGAACTACCAAAATGTAAAAGGTAAAAGTTTTAGAGAAAATAGATGAGTCAGTTAAATCAATTCTGCCATTTAATACCTGGATGACCAGTGTCTCAGATTCTTTATCAATAAAACAGAAATAAAAAATATCCATTTGGAATAGGAATTCAGTAATAGGTAAAGCATAAGACACAGAATAGACATCTTGATATAAAGTACTAATACTACTGATAAGAACAACCTACAGTTGCTACTTTCAAAAGGTTTACAATACTTCTTGCTTGTAAAATCTTACCAAAAATTACATGAAAACATCTTTTCATTCTTTACCAACAAATTTTAATGAGTCTGGTTCCCATCTCCAATCCACAAAATCATATTAAGAGAACTACATATGGTGGAATAAAATATACAGCTCTTCTTTTTCTCCCTTTCAACTACAACCAAATGCACTCTCACACATTCTAGCACAAATTTACTATATTGTTGAATCATATGAAATTGCCATTTTTACATGTCAAAACTGGTCAACTTATTGGCTATCTCCAATGGTTCAATCTGAAACTTACTTGTTCAATGAACACTTTAGTAAACCCAGGTTGGGGTGTAGTTGCTATACATAAGCAAAGTCTGTTAAATAAGGGCTATGAGGGCGCCTGGGTGGCTCAGTTGGCTGAGCAACTGCCCTCGGCTCAGGTCATAAACCTGCCACGTCAGGCTCCCTGCTCAGCAGGGGGTTCTCTTCTCCCTCTGATTTCCCCCTCTCATGCTCGCTCTCTCTCATTCTTTCTCTCTCAATAAATAAATAAAATCTTTTATTTAAAAAAAGGGGGGGCTGTGAAATAAAGTGAAATGTAAAAGTTCATTCTTATTTTAATGCTTTTACTTTGTACAAAGCTCTTCCTAAACTAAAATGTTAATATAAAACATTCTGAATAAATTTCTAAGCTAAAACCTACAATATCTTTGAGAATTATTTTCCAGACTATGGAAAACACACATCAGGAAGAGATGATCAAGTAACAATTACACTGATCTGCAAAACCAAGCATACAACTTAAGAACTTCAGTATCTTCACCAGAATGAGTTATATTTCAAAAGCCAATGGTGTTTAAACTACGAGACCTCTTGAGTGTATGAATTACACTGAAGACTCAAAATATAGTAACAAAATTATTTGTCAGAGAAATTTTGGGGAAGAATTCTCAACAGAACCTACCTCAATAGTTCTCAAAACTGATTCAGTTTTGAGTGAATAAAATCAGTTTGAATTCAGTTTGGTGAATAAAATCACCAAAACAGCTACAACAAAAAACACAAGTGCCCTAATAGTGAGAGAGTAGGGTCCTAATGAGAAATGTAATAAAATTCTCCAGGTGCTTCTAATATGCATCCAGGATGGAGGAACCCTTTTTCTTAAGGCTTTTTTTTTCATACCCCTACATAAATCAAGACTAAATTTTTAGGAGATTATGTTCCTAAGCCAGGTAAATTTCCAGAGGTTCTAGTCTGTCTACCACAGAGTAAAATGTTCTGTTAAGAAAACGTCTCCCCTACTTTATCATGAAGACACCACTTACACCAAAAAGTAGTTCCCTCTCCTATTTAAAGAACTGTAGTAATATTGACTTATTGGAGGGAATAGTAGCAATGTAGAACATAAAAGAAAATCTGTAGTGTTTCATTGGGACCATCATGGTAATTTCCAATTATTACTGATATTCCTTTCTGTTTAAAAAAAATTTAACTTTCTAGGGGCGCCTGGGTGGCTCAGTGAGTTGAGCCTCTGCCTTCGGCTCGGGTCGTGATCTCAGTGTCCTGGGATTGAGCCCCGGGTAGGGCTCTCTGCTCAGTGGGGAGTCTGCTTCCCTCTCTCTGCCTGCCTCTCTGCCTACTTGTGATCTCTCTCTCTGCCTGCCTCTCTGCCTACTTGTGATCTCTCTGTCAAAAAAATAAATAAAATTTTAAAAAAAATTTTAACTTTCTAAATTATAAATTAAACACTAACAGCTTATTTTATACAAGTTTAATCCATCAACTAAAAAAAGAAATTATAACCAAAATACAAATTTCTATTTAATTTCAACATTTAAAAGTAGTCTAATTAAGACAGTCTTACTGTTCTAGAATCCGAGAACGGATTATATTCATCAAGTCCTGGTGGAACATTTCTTGTCACTTGCGTAACTGATGGGTCCTGGAATAAAATTCAAAGGAGAAAAAAAGATTACTTATCCTTTAAGGCACAGTTTTGATAGTTACAAAGCACTTGCTCTATCTGTACTTTTGGTCAACAAGCAAAGCTAACAGAGGAGAATAAAGAAGATTATCAGATTTACTCAGTCCCATTCCAACAAGGTTGAAATTTATACCCACAGCCCTCATACCCTCAGTGAAAAAACTGGGTTAGATGCAAATCAGCTGCTATTATATAAAGAATGAAAACAGTTATGTGGAACTGACTGCACAGCATCTTAGCAAATCTTGGGCACACCCACCATCCTTTCCTTTGGATTCCACAATGAGTTCATCTTCCCCCCAGCGCCCCCCCCCCCTTTTTTTTTAAATATCTTCTATCAGTTTTCCCTACTGCTGATACAAACACCGTATTACAAATCAATGTCATATACAGGCAACATGTACCACATCCAATATTAAGCACCACTTACTTGTATCCTACCCAACAGTTTTGACTATTGTTTACTTTGTCCTGTACTGTTTCTCCTTTTCCAACTATAACATATTACCATACTATCCCAGCTTTTCGAATTAGGCTTTCAAATAAGTAAGTCCCTAAATCTTAGAGAGTTCATCTACTTTTCTTGTGAATAAATGTAAGACACAAATGTAATGAACATCTCAACAAAAACCAACTATATAATTAACATGAAAAAGCATTTGCAAACTTTAATACAGCCTCATTGACTTTCCAATCCCTAGTCCCAAGCTTTGGCACGCATCAGAACCAAATACAGATTGCTGCACCCACCCCCAGGGTTCTGGAATGGGGCACCAGAATCTTTATTTCTAAAAAGTTACCATGTGATGCTGCTTCTGCTTGGAGAAGCACTGCTCTCTCACCTATGCTGCACCTTCTCCAATCCATCTTCCTCAACACAGTCATCAAAATTACCTCCCAAAATAAAAAGCTTATCTTGTCATTCCCCTCCTCCATCCCCTCTCCTCAGTTCCCCACCCATTTCAGGTTTTTTAAAGGCTCTCCCAAGACAAAATACAAATTCCTCAAAATGAGATACAAGGCAGCTGACCACCGAGCTTTCCAGACTAATAAACTCTACCACAAGGTCCTTCCCCTAGCCAGATCTTCACTCTCTACCAAGTCAAACAAGCTATTGCATAAGGAGCCTTAAACTTGACAAAAAGGAAGATGTAATAATAAATTTAAAGTATGGCACAGACAAAAGTAAAAATTTTAAGCTTGCTCAATAAGGAGGGAAGGAGGGCATGAAATCACTCTACTTCCCAGCATTCTCTTCCTAAGTTTATTCAAAAACATGAGGAGCAGGAAGATTATCAAGAGACAATGTATGTCTCAGGGAGAAAATTAATAGAAACACGAATATTTGATCTCAAGGTTTTGAGTTTGAGCCCCATGCTGGGTGCAGAGATTTCTTAAAAAATAAAAAATAATTTTAAGAAGTGGGTTTAGGATCAACAGGTAGAGACTTACCACATCCGATTAGTCCAGATGCAGTCTCAATGCCCACATCTCTTATCCCTACCCACAAAACCAGATGACCTAGGAGTCCTCAGCACCATATTCTTCCTTGGCATTCCTCTGGCAGGAATACACAAAGGTAGGATAACCTTAGTGATCTCCTCTTCCTTAAAGACTCAATCTGAAGAACACTTCACATGCTAACTAATGAATTGCTGATACCCAAGTAATTGCATTCCAGTCTAAGTGCTTCCACAGAGCTTGGCATTTATTTTCACCAGCATTTATTTCACTGACTCATGATGATCTTCATACAAGTCCCCTTTCCCAAACTAGAAGGTCACTTCTTTAAATACAAAAAATACATGATTAGGTCCTGTTTATTTAATCATACATGCATAGTAATACTGTTTGAGTGATAATTGCCACTCCCAAAGAGAAAAAAAAGTCCAAAGAGTAATTCCTCAGGATAGTAACACCAGTATTAATCAAGAAATACTCCCTGAGGGGCACCTGGGTGGCTCAGGCATTATGTGTCTGCCTTTGGCTCAGGCCATGATCCTAGCATCCTGGGATCTACCACTCCCCCACCCCCCAACCCCCCATCCCCACATCGGGCTCCCTGCTCAGTGGGAAGCCTGCTTCTCCCTCTCCACTCCCCCTGCTTGTGTTCCCTCTCTGGCTGTGCCTCTCTCTCTCAAATAAATAAATTAAAATCTTTACCAAAAAAAAAAAAAAAAAAAGAAAAGAAAAGAAAAAAAATACTCCCGGGGCGGGGGGGGAGTGAACAAATATGAAGTTAGTTCAAAAATTTAAGGGAAAAGATGATCTTACTCATAAGGGAAATACTAATTAAAGGTACCCTAACATAGTATTTCTCATCTATCAGACTAGAAAAAAATCTACAAGTCTAACATAGCCAAGCGACAAAAGTGTAAGAAAATAAGAATTCTCCTACATTACTAATGGAAAGAGAAATTATTACAACTCTATGGAGGGACAGTTGGCAATAGTCAGCAAAATTACATCTATATTTACACTTTTTTAAGATTTTATTTATTTAGTTGACAGAGAGAGATTACAAGTAGGCAGAGAAGCAGGCGGAGAGAGAGAGAGGAGGAAACAGGCTCCCCGCTGAGCAGAGAGCCTGATGCAGGGCTTGATCCCAGGACCCTGAGATCATGACCTGAGCAGAAAGCAGCGGCTCAACCCACTGAGCCACCCAGGCGTCCTCAAATTTGTTTTAATACATGTAAACAGTATTGAGAAAGTGATAGTCTGTAAACTGGAAGAAAACAACAAAGCTTAAGATTTAATAATGAATAATCTTTTTTTTTTAAGATTTTATTTATTTATTTGACAGAGAGAGATCACAAGTAGGCAGAGAGGCAGGCAGAGAGAGAGGAAGGGAAGCAGGCTCCCTGCTGAGCAGAGAGCCCCATGCGGGGCTCGATCCCAGGACCCTGAGATCATGACCTGAGCCGAAGGCATAGGCTTACCCCACTGAGCCACCCAGGCACCCCATGAATAATCTTTCTTTGAAGATTTTATTTTATTTGAGAGAGAGAGTGTGTGTATACATGACTAGGGGGAGGCGCAGAGGGAGAAAATCCTCAAGTAGACTCCCCAGTGAACCAGCACATGGCTTGACAGCAGACATGAGAATCATGACCTGAGCAGAAACCAAGAATCAGGGGCTCAACCAACTGAGCCACCCAATAATGAATAATCTTTTAAAGTCTACAAAGTGTTTAGCACTTCCATTACTTCCAATCCTTGCTATGATCCTCCCTGATGGATAGTATTATTCTATTTTTCAGACAAAGAAGCTATGGCCTTGAAAAGGTCAAGAAACTTTCTGAAGGACAATTAGCGTACATCTTGAGACAAAATATGAAGCCACAATTTCCCAATGCCTATATATATATTCTTTCTATCAGATATATGAAAAATAAAATTTACCACAATCACAACTTTATCAGGAAAAGACACTGGCACCTGCATAAGATTCTCTCTCTCCCTCTGCCCCTCCCTCTCCCCCTCCCCTGCCTCTGTCTCTCTAAGAAAAAGGAGGAGGAAGAGGAGGAGGAGAAGGAGGAAGAGGAGGGAAAGAAGGAGGAGGGGAGGAGAAAAGACATTAGTCGAGCTGATTGTTTATTAATGATTCCAAAAGCTTTGGCAGGAAAATACTGCACTTTTTTTCAACACAACAAAATTAAACTGTTTCAAGTGCTAACTTGGTTACTTCTGCAGCAGTGGTTCTCAGACTCAGTACATATTGGAATCACCTGAAGGGCTTGTTAAAACCCAGATTACTAACCCCATTCTAAATGTACCTTGATGTCTGAGAACCTGCATTGTTAATGAGGAAAACAATCTGAGAAAGTCTAATTTTATTGACTTAAAGGAATATAGTAGGTCTCTTTTTTATTGACTTTTAAGAAGTACATTCTCAATCATTTAAATGCTCTAAAAAATAATAATTTAAATACTCTATTTGGATCTGACTACCCATAAACATTAAAATTTAAATTTATGTCATTTAGTTAAGCTAAGGCTGTTCTTTATTTTTATTCTTTTAAAGATTTTATTTATTTGACAGACAGAGATTACAAACAGGCAGAGAGGCAGGCAGAGAGAGAGAGAGAGGAGGGAAAGCAGGCTCCCCGCTGAGCAGAGAGCCCAATTCGGGGCTTGATCCCAGGACCCTGGGAACATGACAGAGCCGAAGGCAGAAGCCCCAACCCCCTGAGCCACCCAGGCGCCCCTACTCTTTTTTTTTTTTTTTTAACATTTCTCCCCCCCCCCTTTTTTTTTTAAGATTTTATTTATTTATTTGACAGAGAGAACACAAGTAGGCAGAGAGGCAGGCAGAGAGAGGGGGGAAAGCAGGTTCCCTGTTGAGCAGAGAGCCCAACTAGGAGCTGGATCCCAGGACCGTGAGATCATGACCTAAGCCAAAGGCAGAGGCTTAACCTACTGAGCCACCCAGGTACCCCTAAGCTAAGGCTATTCTGCTAACACCTTAGTAAGCCAATTACTTCATAGTCGTATTTCATTAAAAATTGAGATGCCTGGGTGCCTGGGTGGCTCAGTGGGTTAAGCCACTGCCTTTGGCTCAGGTCATGACCCCAGAGTCCCGAGATCAAATCCACAATGGGCTCCCAGCTCCACGGGGAGTCTGCTTCTCCCTCTGACCTTCTCCCCTCTCATTCTCTCTCTCACTCTCTCCCTCTCAAATAAAGAAATAAAATCTTTTAAAAAATTGAGATGCCTTATAAATGTTTTTTCAAAGAGAGTAAAATTTCACATATAGCATAATTAGCTATTTTACATCTGTAATCCGGGGTTCTTTACCAAACCTTCTATGAGGTAGTGTGCCTTCATTATATTTCAAATTACTTCATCCACCATGCCTTAAATTGGACATTGCTCCATCACTCCACACATAACACATAACATCCTCCTGAGAGGTTATGTGTGGAGTGATGGAGCAATGTCCAATTGAGGAAGATTCT